TCTGTAGCCTTAAGGACAGTCACAAGACTCGCAGGGTATTCGGATCTTCCATCGGTGAATGGTGGTCTTCAATGATGCAGATAGTGGTGCTGGCATGAGCACTGCTCCCTGCTGGTACATAGCACGGCCATGGCGGTCCCCCACGGTGCAGGATCCATGACGCCCTGCACTCACAGTATGTCTTCAGTCTTCTGGGTTCATTTTGGGTGTCAGACAATCTGGAAGACTGAGGACATCTAGTGGTGGAATAAGATTCCTTTAGTGCTTCCCCCCGCCACTGAAGGAAAGGGAAGGGGCATTCAAGGATGGATGAGCATCCATTATAGCCATTATAGCACATGGGAGATTCCCAGGGCACCCTCGTACTTTCTGCTCCATCATAACTCGAGCCCTTTAAGGGGATACATGCGTCCGGTGGCGATTCACCTCGTCAATGCAGCTCGGGCATGTATCCCCGGCTCTGTGGAGACAGGTCTCTCCTCCCACCATCCAGCTCTGGTTTAGCAAGATTTGAGACATCAGATGGAAGACCGCACCTGTCCTCTGGGGGGATGCTGGCTAGGTTTTGCTCCACCTGGTTCGAGTGGGATGAGTTCACCTCCTCCCCGGAATATCTGGGTCTCCTGGAGTGAGGCTCTCAAGGTGGCCTCACATGGGAAGTCCATAGCACTGTGTATGCTACAACTCTGGTGACTCAGCTTATAACAGGATGTCCTTTCCCTCCTGGCGGCTGAACAGAGATGCAATGAGAGAAAGAAATATATGTCTGGGGAGGTCCACATTGAAATAAACCCAGGGCTCAGCTTGCATGGGCAAAGCACCGATTCCCTTTAAAGGAGAACTATGGGGTCAGTGTTTTTCCCCATAGTTCTCCTGAGGGTAGCGGGAGAACGCAAACTAGCCTCCTCCCGTCACCCAAAGCTCAGTATATAGGGAGCTACAGCTCGCGGTATACTGAGACACTGCAGCCGAAATGGATCCCGACAATTGTGTCTGGATCCGCCCAGCTGCGGGATTGACAGCTGGCTCTGCCTATCTAGAAGCAGAGCCAGCTGTGCCCGCATCCATCATTGAGGACTCACCTATTGACGATCTTGTGCACCTCTGTCTTCCCATCATTCCTCTGGTGGTCCGGGGTGATGGGAGGGGAGGAGCTTAGCCACTCTTTGGATAGCGTATTTTCGGGGGACATATCGGTGAAAATCGGGTCTTCTTCCAAATCTCTGCAACCGGGAAAAGAGACACAATCAACTCCACTCCAAGTGAAGGGAAATACTCGATGTTCTGGGTATGGGGGAATAATAACTTCTCTACTATAATACAGCACTGGGTGCCTCAGTGACCAATAGCCAGTCCTGAACACGGTCACATGGGGGCCGGAGGAGGAGTCCTCCGCACGGTGTAAGCTCTAAACAGGGTGACTTGGTTCTTTCATGGGGCTTTTCTACCGGAGCGGAGGGGAAGCAATGACAAGTATAAGCTACTGTTGGCACCAGCATTGGCAGTGTACATGGTGCCGTCCCCTGCATAGGTAACGCACGGGTTCACTTCATAGAGAAATGTCTATCCTTAGACCCCCAGGGAGGACCTTTGAAGCTATACCATGGTGTAACATACACAGCTCCGGCGATCTGCCCGTTCTCCACGATGTCCTTGTCCTCCGGACACGGCGGCTTGTACTCTGTGTAGTTCCTTTCCTCCAGATTCCGGAGGACCAGGTTATAGAGGATGTGCTCGTTGGGTTTCTGCAGAAGGTGCTCGAACAGCCGAAGCGTCATAATACTGATCTGTGGGGGGGGGTGGGGGTGGAATACTGGGGTGAATTATAGCAGAAATGTCTGTACAACAAAAACAAATCACTATGAGGAGAAATTATCGTAAAGCTCCTTTCCGGGGCACATTATTCATCCCCCCACTTACTACTTCCCTAAATCCATGGTAACGTGTCGGGTCCTGAGTCTTCCCTCTTCCTACAGCATAATGAGAGGGTCCTTCTCGAGGTCCAATACACTTCCTGGGTGACACGGACAATTCTCATTGGCTGTCCAGCAGCAGGGTGCCTCCAGCCTCCTGTGAGGCCCCAGAACTGCAGCGGCATGAGGACCAGTCGGCGCAGGTACAGACTGCAGTGCTGGATCACCCATGCTTCCGATGCCTCCTATGAGCCCCCCCAAACACCACTGCCCTTCCCGTGCCTGTGTTTTCTGCACATCATGTCTGCAGGGGCACTCTGTGCTTCCCGTCTCTCCAAACGGACCCCTGTGCCCCTCCATGACTCCTGTGCGCCTCCGGGTAGCTGCAGTTGTCTGACCTGCTGCTGTCAGGGTGCATCAGTCAGCAACCGTAGTACAGCTTCTGCCCGGACCGCTGCACGCTATGCGCATAATCGGCGCGTTGCCGCTAGTACTGCGCATGCGCAAAAACGTGCACGTACGCACGCGAAAACGTGCACACGCATTTCCTTGGCGCCAGGCGGGCTATTTAAAGATGGCTCCTGCATCTGCACTTTGCTGAGAGATCTTCAGCTGTAACCTGCATATGTCTGACCCGGCTTGACTACTCCTGACTCTGCCTGCTTGTGACCTCGGCTCGTCCCTGACCATTCTCCTGCCTCCTGATCCGGTACCATTCTGCTCGCTAGTGTATGACCCGGCCTGCTCCCGACTCCGCTTCTGTCACCTGCTCATGTACCACGCTGACCGCACCTTACCGATCTGGCTTGTCCCTGACTACGCTTCGGCTCCTCACACCAGTGTCGTCTGGTCTGCCATCGACCACCAGCTGCCTCTGGCGCCCTGTTGTCACCATCAGCACACCAAGTGTGTCCAGCAGTCATACCAGCCGCAGGCACTCGTGCCCCTCTCCGTCTGTACAACTACTGTTCCCTCTCCAGTGGGGCTCAGCCGAGAGCAGCAAGGGAAGGCCTTCCTCGTCACTCCTGGCTCACACCAAGGTAGGCGGCAGCTGCACTCCACCGTCCGCACCCTCGTGCTGCCTCTCTACTCCCAGGTACGCTCTTGCCATTACCCGGACTGTCCTCCTCTCTGTGGACGGACACCCCTGTTGTCCGTGACAACACGAAATTCCCAAATGCTATTTGTTTATATGTTAAAAATTAAATTGACCTGATAAATAAAACCAATCGGCATTCGGCATGCAAACCGATTACTGGGGCCCCCTCACAAGGACGGCCGGCTCTCACCTCATCGGAGATGTGGTTGCAGTGTTCTATCAGACGATGGCGGAGCGGAATTTTTTGGACCGCGCTCAGCGTCTCGGGATCCCGCTCCTCGCCCAGCAGGAAATAGACGATCTGTTGTAGGAGGGCGTCGGATGTGACTTGCCGCACAATCCTATGCAGGAGCGACGTGCCCGTTAGGATGCCGATCTCCGACCTGAGGGAAGAGAAGGATGGAGATGTCGGGCCGTGACTAAGCGCTGTGTGAGGAACCGAGGCAGAACGGACCGCAAAACAACATCAAACACTCACGTCTGCATCAACTGCGGTCCTATCACACCGACCAGGAACCTCTCCCGCACTGACCTGGCCATTGTGGCAGCCGCCATCTTAAAGGAGACAAAGCAGAAATTCCTTGAAAAGGTGACAACGTACGGAAATCACTCCGCACACTAGTGGTATTAAAGCCTAAACCTAAAAACAAATGTCATATCACAGAGAAGCGGACTCTACATGTGGCGGCTGCATTAGTTTTCGTTTTTTCAAGCTTCTTTCCCTTTATTTTAAACCGGTGATCCTGCCAGTAGCACACTTCCTGTCCTGGGGTGGTGACAACGCTCACTCCCCATACTGTATCTGTATATGAAGAGGAGCAGTGTTGTCACCCTAGGACAGAAAGTGTTTTTAGACAACAGAACACCTCCCCCTCTCTTCATCTCCATTACAATGTGGAGGGGGTGTCCTGTAGCTCTCAGAGACAGCTAGGAACAATGTAGCTGATAAGGGTTCAGCAGAAGCAGAAAGTACAGGAAATGATCAGCTCACCGGCAGGACCAACAGGCATTTTTTGCATTAAGGCCCCATTCACACTGAGCGGAAAATGCAGCGATTTGCGCCGCGGTAGCGCGCATTTTTTCCGCGCAATATCGCGAGCAGTCGCCGTCCAATGGTTATCAATGGAGCTTTCTTAATGTACAGCGATGTCGCGCGAATCTCCTTTTTTTTAATGCAGCCCTGACGGTGAAGGCGGTGGAACGTCTCTCGAACCGTCGCGCTATCCCGCCGCGCGGAAATCCGCTCGAGGTGAGTGTCGCTTAGTGTGAATGGAGCCTAAGCGACACTCACCTCGAGCAAATTTCCGTGCGACGGTTCGGGCAACCTTCCAGCGACGATCGCGCGACCTTCACCGTCGGGCTGCATTGAGAGAGAAAAAAAAAGGGAATTTGCGCGACATCGCAGGAACAAGCGTCCTGCAGGCGCGTCTTGCGACATGGAGCTGTACATTAAGACAGCTCCATTGAAAACCATTGGCCGGCGACTTCTCGCGATATCGCGCGGCAAAAATGCGCTAAACCGCAGGATTTTCCACTCGGTGTGAATGGGGCTTTATTGAACAAATACAACAAAACTCTTTCAATGAGTTATATCACCAACATTAAAGTTATAGGTGGAGTCTGCCGGGCTGCGTCACCCACCGGCCCTCGCCATCAGCGAGATCCCCCGTCAAAGCTCCACATTATGTTCCCATTCACCTCGGGGTGTCCATTTCTAATTCTTATTATAATGAAATAATCCAGCATGAGGTCTGGGGGCCCCTCGTGGCATTCCTGGCAGGTTTTGGGAACTCCGCCCTGGATTTGTTTGGGGCTATTTCCTAAAAATAAACATATTTGTTCTCGGCTTTTAAAAGCCCTATCCCTATATTTGGATGAAATGAGTCAGTGAATGCATTTCATAGACAATAATGTGCCAGTACACCCGATGACAAGGATCCCAGTGCTCAGATGTGTCTGTATGAGCTCATCCAAGGAGTCCATCCCAGTCTATTACAGCACGGGCCTGGGACCTTCCCTGGATGAGGACGCCGGGCTATAATAAGGGCAATCGAGGTGGTAAGACCCCCATATAGAGAATGTTTTACAGGTGAGGTACAAAGCCTTATTGCCTCAACAGTGTTTAAAGAATAGGTGCACTTTTAGACAACGTGCAGCTATCCCCCCCACGACCTAAATGATCCCACTCTCACCCTCTGCAGAGCCCTACATACCGAGATCTGAGGGTCGCTCTTCTGCTGTTTGAAATCATTGAAACCCAGTGCTGCCTGATTCCCTCTCCTGGCCGCTTCTGTCTCCCGGCTGGGAGGTGGCCCGTAGAAGTCCACGAGGTTGAAATGTTCAGGTGCAGCCAGCAGAGGGAGCACTGTGGTGCTGGATGTAAATACCGTATTGTTCCGTGTATAAGACGCCCCTCATGTATAAGACGCCCCCCCATGTATAGGACGC